AGCATGATATAGTTTATCATCAGCAAAGAAGTTACCTTTTTTTCGAGAAATTTATAGAATTTCTCATTTTCTTTAATAGCTCTACAGCTCAAGATTGATAGCTTTTTGAAGTTCGGCTTTTATCAAATCCGAAGCTTGCCTTCTGGTTTTATAACAATAATTTTGGTGGCGATCAAATAAAAACCGACGATTTTTGGTCGGATTTGAACTCGGATCTTCGGCTCGTTAGAGCAGCGCACATCTTTCTGCGCTATGATCGCTACCAATATATCGAGTTTACCAGATAACATTTCAGTTAAACTAATTGTTGTTTATTGACGACTTAGGTCGTCGACGTTTGTTTTTCTTATGTTAGTAGAAGATCGACCTTTAACTAACGTTTCATTTATCGTAACAATCATGCATATGCGTGCTAAATGAAATGATAATACGATTAAACGTGTTAGATGACGTGATTTATCATATGAAGGAACATCTAAAAAGAGCTTTAGTCAAATGTGTCATTTTTAAACGTTTATATACGTGTAAAAATAACACACTTGGATTTGCAGCGAACGACGAGTGACATTGCGCGCATCACAGATCATTAATGAACATATATACCGTTTGGCGAATTTATGTCGGTGCATAAATGTGATTAGTCTAGACTGGTATACGATATATCAAGACCTGTTTTCAAATTTGATTATACCTTACAATTAGACGTACTTGTAACCGGAGCACTCCCCTTTCGTGGTACATCAGACGCACGCGTTAATTATGGAAACGTGTTATATACGTTATCGTAACCCACATTCTGCAATTTCTCCACGTGATATTTTCTGAATCCTACATTTTATACAAAATGCATTCACGACTAACCGTACCTACTAACAGTTAACTGAAATTGAGAATTACGCCATTTTTGTTAATTATAATTGGCAATTATTTACGCTTTAGACCGACAATCAGGAATATTACTTTTGACGTTAATTTTATTGTATCGTTATTGAAATGTTTTGTTTTAAACGCATTGAAAGAAATTATATCCTTCCATTTATTTTTGCTTAAGTGTTATATATGTTTATATTTATGACTATAAATATATTGCATACTGCACTATTTTTTCGATGGTGCTTTACATAAAACTTCTATTTAAAACTGCTGAAATAAATGCAACTTTATTTTGCAAAATAATAATATATTTTGCATTTAAATAAATATTTTGAGAAAAACGGTTTATATTCCGCGCGAGTTACATACGATACGATCTCATATATAAAATGACTAACTCTCGTAGTAACTAAAAATATACTACAAAAGTTAAATAGGATTTTTAAAAACGGGTTCTAAAACTCGAAGAAAAAAGGATTCGTATATGCATTATATGATTTTATTCGAGGTTTCAAGCAATTGCTAGAGAAGTACGACTGTGTCTTTCTTTTTTTATTTAAAATAATTTCTCTTATGTGCCGAGTAAAATAAGGTACTGTAATTTTAATGTCACGCGCTTCACAACGGAATACTCAGATAAACAAATGTTTTCCCCAATGATATCGGGAGATATTACATGCAGGGCTCGTACATACTTTATGCATTTTAAGATTAAGTTTACAAAAGTAGGCGTATAGCTACGTGAGTCCCGATCCGTGAAACGAATTCCTGGTTTACACATCGCGAATTCACGGAACGTCGCCGACCGTGAGAATAAGAGAAGTAAATTATGCGGAAATGTTAATTTTCGATATTTATGCCGCTGTGAACGCGCGCGTGCTGCGAATTTATGAAACTGTCTAAATTTGCTCGGACGACGGTCCACTTTGCGTTTTCCGCCTATGCATACATATAGCATGTCATTGATTGTGTAATAAGGATATTTTAACTCGAGGAACAGAGCGCTTTCGAGATCAAAGTGCCAGTCGCTTCTTTATGGAGAGGCACAGATCAGATTTGTTTTTTAATCGCCCCATTTATTTTCATCGTGACCTATTTCTAAGAAATTCTATTCGCGCGGAATGAATTATGTTCGCTTACAGGTCTATTTAGCCAGATAAAAGCAATGAAACCGAAGTGGTTTCGGTGAATTAAATCCTCTATACAACGCAAAAAATGTTCCATTCTTCTCAATTACTGCTCTTTTATTACCGCGGCTAAAAGCTGAGACGCTCAGCTCAACAATGGCCCGTATTAATGGAGATTTAATGTGTGGAAAAGATAAAAATAATTTTTTAGTTTTATCTGATTTTTCTTTATTTTATCTTTTTATTTACTGAAAAAGAAAAAATAAAAAAAAAAAGATCACTGAGACGCTGTTCATAGATCTGATATAAAGTTTTGCTGCACAAATTCAAAACTGTGCTACTTTCTTGCTTTTGTGTATCGCGTCATTGTCACGGCGAACAGTTTTAATATTAAGTATTTTCGTCTGTTTGTGACACATGCGAAATTTGAACTCGTCGGTTTCAACAATTGCGTTGTCATATGGAAATGTGATCTCGTTGAGATTTCGGTGAGTTTCAACTTCTGGCACAAAATTATCGTCCGCGTGTTGATCAAAGTAGCTATCGCGGTAAGCCATCGTGATTTTGCACGTCGGACAATACGTTTCGTCGTGCAGCTTTTATCCTTTGAAAAGACCCGAGCCAGTCTCTCGTCGGTTTAAATGGCATTCTAAAACCTCCGGAGAAACCTCATACGACACGCATGACCGTTCTTTCCATTCGTCTTTACACCGCTCAGTGCATTCGAGCGGATTTCTTCTTCAACCGTGTGTCCGCAAACATTATACACTTCAAGAATTTCCGCAAGACCATCGGTAAACCGTGAATATTATCTCTCCGTTCGCCGCGTATTTCTGCAAGTTATTATAATTCTATTAGACAAAATGAAACTTGCACCTAATAATAATTTTGTAGAATTTATAAATGACGAGTAGAAAATAGGAAAAATTAATATTGCATCAATTAAGAGAGTTAATCGATATCTTTACATCTTATTTTTTGATCGTAACTTTATTTTTTATTATTAAAATAGGGTAAATGCAAAGAGGACGTGAAATATGTTTTTTTTTTAATAACATATGATTATTCCAAAAATAAGTCTCGAGATGATCGGAAAACTTGGAAAGAAACTGGCTCAATGGTGGCTCAGCTTTAATCGTTTACATAATATCTGAAGTTTGCTCTAAATCCCGTCGCACGTGTCTGGAATATCTATATGTTCTAATATTTAAATACCTTGCCTTGCGCCAAGAAGCCATTTTTCTATTGATTAATAATAAAAATCGCTTTAGCCTGAGGGACATCCTAATTTTTTTGACGTCAGCCCGAAAAATGTTAAACTCCATTTAGGACAGGTTTTAGTCTGAAAGCACGCGAAGATCAATGTTGACGTGACAGTTACGTAAAATATCGAAGTATAGAGAGGCAACTTGCGATGCTATCGTTA